TTTAAATGCATTAATTTGCCTTCTTTAATAGTTATTTTTCCAATAACTGAATGTAAAAGGTGATAAGAATTAGTTTTTTTTTTGTTTGTTTTTTTTTTTAGATTAGTGACCAAGCTTTTCCTGCAGGCTCTGCTAGTGTGCTCAGTCACAACATCAATACCACTGCTTAGATTGTTAGGCAAATAACTTTAATGTCAAGGTTCATGTGGGTGCTGCATACTGTATCCAAGGTTACAAAAGTCATATTATTATCTCCTACTTTTAGACTCATTCCTAGTTTGTATTTCAGTCAGTTGTGAAGGGGCAGGTTAAAGCTTCAGAGCATCTTCAAATATTTGGATGTTTGATTGCCTAAATATTGGTTTTGTTTATATGTTCTTCAGAAAGGCTGAACAGCCTCAGAAAAGCAGCTAATAACTAATATTAATATTAGACAATAAAAAAAAAATCTTCAGAAATGTATATGATCTTGGCGTATAAAATATGAGATAACTCATATGTGGGTTTAACTTTTACTTTTTTTTACATTTCAAACTATTTGAAAAGTGGTTGACGTGTGCTTTGGAAAAGATAAATCCAGGATTAATCACTCAAATGTAAATGATTACTGTATTTTTCAGTGGTTCACTTTCTTCTTTATGACACCCTCCCCATTTACCTCAGATTTGTGTAAAGGACAAACAAATTAATCTTTTTTCAATTAGCACAATCTTTCTCTGAAGAAAAAAGTCTTAATTTCCAGTATTGCACTAATTGATTTTGTAGATAATTTAGTCTTCTCCTATGACAAACAAAAGGGGCGATCGTTGACTGATCCTCTTTGCAGAATTTCCCTGTGTTAATGTGTTTTACTGTGCTATTCTATCCTCACATTTGGGATCATTATCCTGCTAAAAGTCACAGAGACAATCCATCTTCAATTTTCCACCCAATATTTAATTGAAAACTTTCAAGTTCACGATTACATGCATTCTTAAAAGGTTCTCAGGCTATTTGAAAAGAGTAAATGGACCCACAGCATCATACATCCTGTTCTGTATTTAACGGTGACTGTGACGCTCTTTCCCACACAGTCATTGTTTGTTTCGAAACACTCCAGGAGTGTTTGACCCCAAAAGGCTCAGAGTCGGACCCTGTTCACACCTGGTGCTAACTTGCATCTTGGCAGATTCAGGTAAAAGTAGGCAGGGTGCAGGCTGACCATTCGCACCTGGTATTAAAATTCACTCTTAATGATCTGATCACATTTCTCTGCTTTACATGCAAATAAACACACACACGCTTTGTCAACAACACCTCACGCAAGTCTGCCAATGTTTTCATGAAAAACAAATACATAAATCCCACCACACCATATTATCATCCAGCTATTGGCATAGTTGAGATTAATCTGAGTCACATTGATATAGGAGAACAAATAAAGCAGAACACATGACAGCTCTACACATTTTTATTCCAAACATTGTGTTGTGTAATAGGGAATAATTTAGCTATTCTCTCTTTTTTTTTTTTTTTTTTTACCACACAGTGGGAATTTAACTATAGTTACCCAAACAGCTACATTTAGCTCGGGAAAAAAACAGAGCAAAGTTCATCACTTTCTTACCCAAATCTCTTTTCTGTTCTCTCTGAAGAGAATCCCAACGTGAAGATTATTAAAACTTAACATAAAAACCCAATAATTTTAGAATATTTCCTAAGATGTTTAGTCATTTTAATTTAGCTAACGGCAATGTTTGAGTTTTTAACCGCCCATCCATATAATAACGCTGCTGCATGAGAGAAGCCATACCCTGACATTCCTCTGAAACTTCCAGTTGGCTCACTGAGAGCCTCTACTGGGTGCAACAGGTAGATTTTTTTATTTTATTGTTTTTACCTCCTTACCACCTGCTCACTGTGCAAGGCAAGATAAAACATGGGTCTTCATCTGGCCTAGTAGACAGTGGATAAAAGAAATTAGATATTGTGGATTACTGATTAAATGTTACTGAGCACTGTAATTATTTTTTAAAAAGTAACTTATGGATACTGTTGAGTACGGTAAAGGATATGAGAGGCTGTGGGCCTGTTTCTCTTCCAAAGAGTACATGGCATGAAGAACCCATTGCAGTACCAGAACATTTTAAATATAAATCTGGTGAATTCTGCATGAAAACTGAAGGAAATTGTTCTTTCAGATAGATAAGGATTTTATACATTTGGTAAAAATCCACAAAGACCGGCTTACCAGATACAAAATCCACTTTCTTCCATGACTATCAGTACCAGGACCCGAATCTTGTTAAAACCCAAAGGTTGAGCTGAGGAAAGTAAATGCATCTCTTATACTGAGGTTTAGATGATCTGAAGGAATTGATCAAGGATAAATTATGACATATATTTCTCTCCGTACGCACTAACCTTGTGAAATGTTGCGCCAGATGACCAAGTTGTGTCCTATTGACCAAACTGAAATATACTCTTCATCAGGAGCAATGTTCATATAAATGTGGCATCTGAGATTTTGAAAATAATCATAATTTCCTTGTGAATGTTTTAGTCAATGATATTTTATTACTTTTTAAAATATTGCAGTAAAAGTAACCATGAGAGCAGCCATTGAGCAACTTTTGGATTTCTTCATCCCCCAACATTAACCAAGATAAACACCAAATTGTATTTTTGACTTGTTAAAAATTTTGAAATTAAATTTTTTTGCCAATAAACAGTCACTGTATTATAGGTTTTTTTGTTTTGTTTTCAGAAACAGCCTTTAAAAGTGACATACTGAAGTTCAAACTGTGGGTCCAACAATTAGCTAAATCTAAGACAACATAGATATAGTATTGTGCCATTAATCGTGAGTCATGGTCTTTTGTCCAAGACTTAGACAAAAGACCATAACTTGGACTCTAAGTCCTCATCTACCACTGATAACTGAAGAGATCTCAAAGTTATTAAAACCCATCCCAAAGGGGGAGCACAATATCTGGAGAAAATCTTTTGATTGCTGTTGAGACATTTTCTACTAAACACTACAAAAAGGTCACTGGAAGGTCAGAGGAAGAAGTCCGAGCAGCAGGAACCATCCATCGAGCACTGCTTGTTTGTTTAGTGGAGGGATGATTTGTTTGGCGAATGAACTCGGTTGATTCTGCTCCCACAGAAACTCCAGAAGCTTTGCCGTCCGGAAAAGATGAACGGCGACACAAAGCAACCCGAGCGTTACCCTTTGAACCCGGACAGCGGTCTTACGCCTGGGGTTAGCGAATACAAGGGAAGTTGTGCAGCTGAGATGGAGATGCAACTTTGAAGATATAAATGTGATTGTTTTTTGTTATTCTTAAGGCATTTTTTTAAGCTTTGTGTATTTAGAAAATTATTACGAGCAACAACAACAACTTACAGATCAGATCTGGTCTGAAACCTGCATAAGAGGCAACTTTGAAGTTTTATGTGTAAACGGTTTAAGCACAGTGCCGTAGTGCTTTTAAGATTTATGTGAAAGATATTTTGATAAACAAAAATACACTAATTTCATGAGTCAATGTTCCTAATGGCCAAGGACTTGGTAATTATTAGCAATCTTTTTTTTAATGCTGTTACAAATTTTTTTAATGCGATCCCAAAAATGTACGTAAATGAATGAATACATTTAAAAGTAAATCAAAATTATTAAAAAATAAAGAGAATTGTTGTCATTCGTTTTTGGATTTCTTTTACTGATTTCACTTTTAACTTTTGACTTTTTGTTGTTTTTTTTTTAACTGCTTTATCTTATTTCAATTACTGCATTTCTCTTAAGTCTAAGCAAGTTTGACCAATTTCAGTTTTATTTCTTAGCAATATAATACAGTCAAAGTCATTTATTTAAACTTTGTTTGATTTCTACAATTAAATGTAACAAGTACTAAGACAACGTCTACAATAAATCACTACCATGTTCAACCCATCAAACAATTACATGCTTGTAAAGCATTATGAAAACGGCCTCTTATCATAGCACTCAGGAAAGAAAACAAGTCAAATGTCCAAATAAATGTGGCTGACAAGTCCTGATCCAACATGGGCTAAAAAAAACAAACATTTAGAGACAAATGAACTAATACTCCAAAAGCAGCATAAAAAGCCAGATTACACTTTGCAAATCCACTGGAAAGAGCTAAATTATAGGAGGTGCGCTGTGGTCTGATGAAATTAAAATGGATGTTTTTGATTATCATGAGCACCATTAGAAGAGAAATTTGCAAGCCTGAGAACACCATCCCGATTGTGGAGGCATCATGCTGTGAAATATTTTTGCTGTTTTTGCTGGTGTGTTTCATAAAATAGACGGCATAATGAGGAAAGAACATAATTAGCAAAATCTTAAGAAGGAGGGTAAAACTTGGGCACAAATTGGTCTTCCAAATCCTCTGTCAGCGTCCACAGCCCACGTATCTACAGAAGCATTTTTTCAAAGAAGTTGAATGAATGATCAGTGGTTTCTGAAACACACGAAACCTGAATGTGTATCATGGCACTTAAATAACCTAAATAACAGATTAAAACCAACATCTTTATTGTTGAGCTCATACGTCTATTTATTCAATAATTTAGTAGCTAAAAGGCTTTTTAGATTGAAAATGTTGGGTAAGCATGTGATGACAACAGGGAGAAACATTCATATTTTTCAAAGGGCTTCCTATGAAAACGAAGACGTTAATATCAGCAGTAGCTCTCTTACTGGTTTTGTTTCAGGGGGGAAAAAAGTAGGTGCAGACTGTTCCAGTAGCCAGAATCCAGGGTCAAAAAATACAGATTACATGTCGTTTGTCTCTGCAGCAGCTCGTTTAATGGCCAGTTAAAATTAGAGTGACTCAGGTGATCGGATCTTCAGTAGAGAACACTGAGTAATTGGCAGCAATGTCTTGGCTAACAGCCGCCTCCGGGAAGGTGATGGTTAAGCACAGAAACGCGTCAAAAGGCAGACAGAGAACATAAACCTAAAAACTGCAACGAGTACGTATAGTGCAAGGACCAGAGGCTGAGTAAGCAGGTACATCACAATCCTTAAAAACCCCCACAAGAGACAATTCAGGCTTTTTCCAAGTTCATGACTGTTGTTTCGGTAAGTCCTCAAGAACCTTTCAATATTACTGCAAGGATATATGGTCTGGTGTTTTAGAACCAGGATTGAATTTTATGAGCACTCTGTCTACGTCCGAAGGTTTATCCTGGCTTGCCAAAAATCTTGTTGAGCTCTTGCTCTGTGGAAAGTCTTACCAAACCTCAGCTGTCTGAACCACGTTTTTTTAGCTTGTTGGTACTTGTGAGTCACTTCGTGCTCCTACAAGCCCATCAAAGCCTGTGGGACTCCTGCAACCTCCTGACTTCCTTCCTCCATAAAAAAAATCAGGCTTAGCGCTGTCAATCATCCTTGTGTGCACGTTGCTCTTCCCACCTCCCGCTGCAGCTCTTGCTCTGTGGTACGCTACAGCATCTTCTCGTCATAAATGCTCAAGCTAGATTTTAGGTTATAATATATTTAGGAAAAATCTTCTTCTTACAGATCCCAGGTTTTCCCGGCGGACCGTGTGTAGCCACACAGAAAACAACAATGAGAGTTGACGTCACAGAATTACAGAGTTTAATCCAATAGAAGACAACGTATGAAATTACAACAGAAACTGCAGAACAACAGAGACATACATTCATTTACCTGAGACAAATGGAAAAGAAGAAGGAAAGAAAGAAAAGCAAAGACCTGCAAAGACGTCTTTGGAGAATTGCAAGAGCAAATCTAGTTTGTTCCTCACATGCACAAATTTTTATAGTAAAGGCATATTCTTGTCTTTTAATTTATTCAAATAAGGCGTATCTTTGCTCATCCAACCTGGAGCTGTCTCTTATCCTCTCTAAAGTTAGAAACTCCCTGCAATTTGTTTCCAAGATCAAAAGCCATTTGTCCCCTTTGTCTAAACAGAGTGGACTCTCCTGTACTGGCCTGGACTCCTGCTGTTTTATGGCTTTTCACAGATGAGTGTGAAAAGCTGGAACTTCTCCTGATTGTTTCCCAGACAGACAAAAGGCACTTTCAAAAAGATCTTAGCAGACAACCTGCTGTAACTACAGGTAACATAAAGATGAATAGGGCAGAATAAGTTATTAATCTGAAAACTATAATTAGGCTATTTCAATCAAGACATGTTAAGTTTTAAAACTAGCATATTCTAAATTTATTTTCATAACACTAGTTAGCATGGCCACAGATGATGGTGGATAAATGATTTTCCTGGAACTGTAAGTCGTTTCTCCGCCATTAGCAGCATATATATGAAGTTGAATGACAACTCTACAATGATCCTCCTGGCCTAGTTTTTATTTGTTTGTCAATAGTAGTACTGGGTGGAGGTGGAGGAGCCTGATCTTTTCACAGATTATGTCACAATATGACTGACAGTTTTAATAAAAATGTGAAAAGCATATTTTTTAATAAAAGTTAGATACTGCAGCATTAAATACAGTATTGAGCATCCCAGCCAAATTCCATGACCCTAGAATCGCTATCACTGTTTTGTGCATTTATAGCACAATATATGCACAAGAGTGCAGATAGTGCATTTCTCAAAACAGTACAAACTGTAAAACCTAGTTTAAAACCCTAACTCTAACCCCAGCCTAAGCCTGTTTCTTGCTCAAAACAGTCAGGGCGCATGAAACAACTCAAATATAAAGCTCTCAATTATTGCTTGATTTATGATGTGAGATGACATGTTTGGTAGTTTCTCTCCCTCCACCTACCTTCCAATAAAACCAAATTACTACTGGTGTTAAATTTTATGTACAGTAGTCTCAAACATTCTGGTTTCTGCAAGATATGCAGAGACAAAAAAATCTGCTCTAAAAGTGCCGCAGTCTGAAAGAAGAGTCAGTTCACAGTGCTCCTCCAAAAGCACTTGTGCAAATTGGAGGCAGTAATCACAGTAATTGCAGCTGTCATTCAAAACAATTTATTAAGATATCACTATGTATTTCATGTTTCAGGTGTGGCTATTGGATTTTCTCTATGACTTAAAGATCACAGGTACAATGCACAAACATTTTTGCACCAAAAGCATCTACATATAAATGGTCTTTTTAATTTACCAACCTATTTATAACAAACATCTGCCACATTCTTTGGGTGAATGTGTTGTCAGCTGTAAACGACATTGCGGTACATATTGGAACTAAACTGGAACATAAAGTGTTGTAAATCATCATTGGACATCGGGATGTTCTCGTCTGTTTGGTCACAAATCGTCATCACAGCCGATATCGTCCCTGACAATATGAAGCAAGGAGAGTATTTCCTCAAGCGGTGAATCCACCCTCTGCTGTGATGTCATCACACTGCGTCCATAGCCGGTAGGCGGATTCCGGTTACATGCTGCATTTTTCACCTTCAGGCAGAGAAAGACTGTAACATTTAAGTCCAGTGACTCTTCACTGTAGTGTAAATGTAATAAATGATATGCTTTTGTCCCACTGTATGCAGAGTGCATGACAAGATGACAGCAGTGCAATGCAGATTTAGTGTTGAATTATTGTTCAGTATTCTCACACTTGTGTTGTAAACTGTTTTTTGTTGTTGTTTTTTTTAATAAAATACTAGCGCATGTCAGCATCTTAGGGAAGCAGGAGCCAAAAAACAAACAAACAAACAAAACAAAACAATTAATTCTGACTTCATGTGTGTTTAGCCAAACTTCAGCCCTGAGAAGAGGGACACAAGTTAGGGCAATGTGCCTGAAACGATGGAGTTATTTAGGGTGGAGGAAATAACTCCATCGAAATAAAAACCCTGATCCACAGTGTTGTTGTCTTACAGGAACTATTGGCTTGCTGATTAATTATTATTTCCCATAATTTGTAAGTTTATTTGGACTGGTCTTTACAATATGAGCAAATGATAATAGTGTGAACTTGCATGGGGGGCAGATGACGCATGTCCAGAAGGATCTGCAACTTGTTGGGAGGAGTGAGAACCTGTTACTGTGATGTGCACAGATGACAAAATGTTGTGGAAGTTCAACTAAAAGTTATGAGAATTTTAATTCTGAAGCCAAAAGTCTTCCAAGTCAATCGAGAAACACTGTTGTGTTAAAAGCCAGTAGCTCATATTTCAAAGCATACCACATTATCTTTCAAACATGCAGAGTGCAGTTTAATATCACAACATATGTGGCTGCCAGTTGTGATCAGTTACCAATTATTAGGCAGCTCAGAGATGAAGCAACTATAATGCTGAAGGGTAAAGAAGTTTTGAAGCCAAAAAATATTTCAGCAATTTATCACCTTCTGTCTTAAAACCTGCAGAAACGTTTCTCTTATGTAAAACTTACTGCACATCGTAAGAAGCCATTTTGTTTCGTCAGACCGTAGCAAGTCTCTGCAAATTTAAAAGGCTGTTTTCATTTTGGAGTTATGACTTCTTTCTCTCCTGTCCATTTCCGTACAGGACTCCCAGTCAGTTCAGTCAGCTTCTTCACAAGGACTTTTATTGCATGATTGAAACATTTTACACCAAAGTACTTTTATCTTCAAGAGGGAGCCTTTCTGCCTCCTGGCCAGTAACAAGACTGGACAAGTTCATGCTGCGTATGCTTACATATACTTGTTTAAACAGATGAATAGCACATACAGATATCTGGAAACTGTATGTGGGGACCTACACTTTTCTTCCTGTCATCTTGATTTTTTTTACGTTTATTTCC